ATTGTTAATTGAGAAAGGTTTAATAATTAGGGACCCACTATAACTAAATTATATTTTTTGAAACTACTCATTTTATTTATTTATTTATTATTATTWTTTTTAAAGATCAAACTATTTTTCTAAAAAGTCTCGGATCTACTTGAAAAATGAGGTTTGAGAAATTTTTGCGCAGATGTTGGCTCCTCTGCCCATTGGGTTCGCGGTGTTTTTGGTGCATTTGGCCACCATTCCGATCACCGGAACCGGCATTAATCCGGCCAGAAGCCTCGGCGCCGCCGTCGTTTACAACCGCCACCAAGCGTGGCACGACCAGTGGGTGTTCTGGGCAGGGCCGTTGATTGGGGCAGCACTTGCAGCTCTGTACCATCAGACGGTGATCAGGGCCATCCCATTCAAGTCCAACTGATGATCCGAATCCTACGGCTATCCACGGTTTATTTTTAAACATGCTTTAACTATAACTATAGCCTGAAATAATTTAATTCTGTTCTTCTAGTTTCATATTTATCTCTCCTACTCTGTGTTCATAATTCATATAAGTAATTATTGCTCTTTTTTATTCTCTTAGTAATGTTGCATTAAATAATTTATACGCTTTTCTTTRAGGAAAAACAATTTATATGCTTAATAAGGAATACAAATTTTGTTTAAAAATTTCAATCTAGTACCTTATATTTTGTTTATTTTTTAATTTAATCTCTTATTGTTATTAAATGTTGAAGTTAGTTGGTGATAAATTTACATGATATAACACTGGATTGACATAARTATAGAGGGAAAAAACATTATCAGGAGAATAAAACATGAAATTTCTTTGAAGCTTAGAGGAGGAATTATAAATTTTCTGTGAAATATTATATCATATAAATTATCATAAATCAATTTTAATATTTTCTATGAGAGATTAAGATTAAATTAAAAATTGTTAAATAATATAGACAAAATTGAAAAACTATATATATGTTCAGCAAATTGATATTTGCATGATTGGATATGAGTATCCTAGAGGATAGAACAGAACGAGTCCATATGGCTTCTATTTTACAAAAGTGAGATTGGGCCCGAAAATGTAGAGTCCACTAAAGTTTGGGCCAGGTCCAGATATAAGCCCAATAGGATAGATTTCAAACACGTTTGGACTTTGGAGCCCAACTGGAGTGAAAGGCCCAATCATATTCCACTCGCCTGGTTCCTTTCGTTGGTTTCGGATAAATAGTACGAACTTTTTCAAATTGTTTCATTTAAAAAAATATATCTTTTTAGTAAAACATGTTGGAGAGGGTATTCGAACTCACAACTTCTAAGTTTGAGTATATGYCAATTAYCATAGAATTATCATCACTTTGACATTTAAAAATATTCTTTTAATACGTCATTATTTGTTATTAAAAATTAATGATCATATATTATCTTCCTCATGTTTTTTGGCCTTGAGAAAATAAATCATGGATGATCGTAGACGATCTATCAATATTAATTGATATTTAAATGACAAATCATTAATCGAAATTATGAAAGTTGTTTTTTCTTTTTGCAAGTATTTAAGAGAAAACAGTCCATTCTTAGGAATACAATATAGAAATGGTCACCTTCTGCAAATTTTTTATTTTTTCTAAAATCTTTATTCGTATTGTTCTACAATTAATTTATAAATTCGCCACTAAGTTTGGTGATATCATATCCTACCAATGAACTTTCAACATGAAAGTAAGGAGCATTAATATTTGAAAATGAACTCCTAACTTAGGTATATGGACTACTTTCTAGCCTTCATACAATCGGTTGGACTAATAGCTCATATTTTAAAGTCGTAATTTCAAATTTATACTTCTTTTTTAGTTCAATAATATATGAAAATGAAAATTTCAATCTCTAATCTTTCAATCGATAGCTATTAAAAAAAATCTAATCGATAATATATACCGACAATTTTTATTTGAAATAATAATTAAAATATCATATAAAAATTTCTACCATTTTTCTAAATTAAAAAAAATTTAGCACTGGTTTCGAAACCCTATTCACCAAAAATTTTTACTTTTATTTTCCAAATTATTTTTAAAATTTGTTATTAGATGACTTTGTAATTAGGGTTAAAACAGGAAAATCGAAAACTTGGCACGTCCGGTCAAAGTCGATCAAACCGCCATTTTTCAGTTTTAAAAAAAACGGTTAACTAAACCTTATCAAGATTGATCGCTCAAAATTTTAAAAACTCTACATAAAAATACAACAAGGTTGTTATATAGATAAGTACTTAGTAAAATGACATTATCCTACTAACAATAGAAAATCAAATTTGAAAAAGAAATTAATCTTATATTTAATCTCTCATGCCCACTTATTATTTCAAAAAATCAAAATAAATCTTAATTTCATAGCCAATATTAGTATAGTTCAATTGGTTAAGGTCTATATACTTGATYAGTGGTTATTTGAGTTTTCACTTCATTTATTGTTGGACTAAAAAATAAAAAATAGCATAATCTCCTATGATAAGATAGTGTTAATTAGATAGATCCACCGAAATTTTGTTTGGAGTATTAAATTTTGGAATAAAGTGAATGTCACTTTCTTATATAAAATAAATGCTACTGAGTTTGGTTGATAGAATTCATCTTAATAATTACACATGTTTTTAAGTTGGTTCGTTTTTAAGATTAATAAAACGTATATAGTTCGATCACATCTTGGTCTTTTCTTCTCATTTTACATTTTTATCCCATAAATTAGCATTGGGTCAACTTCCACTATTTTTATCACATTTTTATGTATAGTACGTGATTGAAAGCTAACTAATTCAGTCATAACTCTACATTTAATTATATSAATTAATAAGCAATTTACGTGAAATTATAGGTATTCAATAGAATAGGGAGGATAACTAGTTTACGTGTATATATGTAGTATATTTGCTATAGAGATGAGAGTGAGAGAGAACGAGAATGAAAATCAATCGACAAAAATCTTTTTTGTTAATTTCTAAAATTGTATTTATTACTTTTTTTTTTAACTGAAATCAGAAGGAAGAACATTATCATTCATATTGTTTGCAAATATTTAGAATGCAACCAACAAGCCGCTTTTTCCTTTGCMAAAAAAAAAAGAAAAAAAAGCCAAGCCGTTTTGTCCAAAAAGAAGGAAACAAAAAACGAAACAAAAACAAAGGCAAACATCTACTATTGATAAAAATAAAAAAATGATGGTTAGATATATTTTAGATTCATATTATTTGAATTAGACTTCTAAATTATATTAGTATAAATAGATTAATACGATAAATTCAATCAAGTCCTAGCCGTTTATGTATTTTTTTATTTTCTCTTCTCCTAAAATCAACAGTAACCTAATATATGTACAAATTTATAAAACGAGTCCAAAAAAATGAATTTGAAAGAAGCTGAGGTTTCACAACTGTATGGATGGAAAATTGAACCATGAACCTTAGATATGGTRATAGGTGTTGTTGATGCTTTGCACCAATAGTAAAAGGGATTTGATGAAACCTGTCAAATAGAAAGATTACACATAAGTATGGTAACCAATTCGATGATTAAGTCGGAATCAGGATTTTATATGAAACATAGTAAAAAGTAGGATTTTTGTAGCATAACTTAATTATGAGTCTTTATCTTTATGAAGGRGAAAACTTATGGTTAATAGGATTTCGTCTATTGAATTTGAATCCCTTAGATGTTGAGATCTTCTACCATAATGRGCTCATTCTACAATGCAAAGGAGGATATCGAGATAAGACGAATCCAAGTCTCTCGACTAATCGACTTAACCCCTGGTCGACCAAGGGATGATCGACTGAATGACACATTGATCAATAGACGATTACACATGGTCGAGCCGACCAGCTGACTAAGACTGGTTGGCCTTGTAGTCGGTCAAGCCGACCTTGTGGTCAGCTAAGGTCGGYTAGGCCAAGGCCAACAAGTCGATCATGGGCAAGTGGGCTGAGTCAAACTTGTRGTCAGCTCGACCAAGGYCGACCAACCGGCCCATTGGCCAGTTGCCCTCTGGTCTTGGTTCTTGGTCTTTGGGCAGGTCCGTTTCTTAAGTATCAACTTTTGAGTTCTCAGGCGACTATTTGATATCTAGACTTGGCTTGTCGAGATTTAATGCTATCAATCYGTATTTTTTATCTTACTTCACCCATAACAAGGTGTCATATCCAGTAAATTATACTTAAACCGAACGAGTTCATTCATGGTTCGAGAGTTAGAAATTAACAATGATCCACTCTTCTATCCTTAAATTAAAATTATTAAATATAATAACTATGAAAATTAAAAGTAACTTTTAAAACTGATGCTTATGATTTTATGCATCTTTGATTGACAGCAATAATAAGTATAAATATTATTAAAAAAAATTAAAGACAGTTGGAGGTGGTTGTAAGAATAAATGTGGAAGAATTGAGAGATTGKGGAAGGCTCCTCCTAACCTCAACAACAAAATCCACAGTTTAACATTTAATTTAATTCCAACATTTTAATATTTAATTAATTCCACTTTTTGGATGCTTTTTTTAAGTAGACTATTTCGTATGCTTATGAAAAAGAGATGCTTTTGGTTTGACCAACTGTGACATCTAACCTATTCTGAAGGGAAATCGAAGGAAAAAAAAAGTTAATTCCTTCTTGATTAAAGAGAAAAGTTTAAGGAGGTCTTTAATTAACCTCTAATCAATTAATTAATTGAGAATTAAACTTCCTATTTACTTAATATTCTACAACTAATTTAAACTGAGTTTAAAAAGAATATATAGTTTGCTTTAGTGATATGCACGAGAATTCATTTTTTAGAGACGTCGTGTTGAAAGAGAAGTAGATGTTTCCTGCTTTAATTAGGGATGATAGGAAGGACGAACAAATATTTTTCTTAAATTTTTTCGTTTTGGAGAATAAACATGGAGACGGGAAGTATATTTTGTAGAATTTTAAATTTAGTTGTGAAAAACATTGAGGACACGAAAACCTTTTTTTTTTGTTCTTTTGTTCCCTTAATTTCGAGAAAAAGGACGCAATGAAAAATGGTTCTTATCCCCATCCTTAAAATTTATTTTTATAAGGTATGTTCATTAACATTTTTATTTATACATTATTTAGAATCGTTAAATACTTTAATGAATTTTATGACTAAAAGAAGGTTTAGATCGTGTTTTCTCATGTACTTTCACAATTTATGTTTGATTTCTCTAATTTTAAAGAACTGATACTTCTTTTTTAGTATAACTTGTGAGGTTGGGAATTCGAACTCACGACTTTTTTTATTTTTGGTCAAAAATAAGTGTTTTAACCGGTTGAGCTATGTTTAATTTGATTTTTCTTTATCATTTAATTTTTCTGATGATTATTTCAATTCGACACGATACTTAATAAACTTGGTGAAAATGATTGCCATAGTTTTATATTAAATGCTTTTTTTAGTTACGTATACAAATTTTACAAACAGAGACGAAAATAGAAGCAGGACCCACGTAGGAGCCAAGGACACATGATGCTGAAATTATTTTAAATTACACATACTCTTTAGTTTGGTTTGTTGGCTTACGGGCACCTCTTTGACCTCTATTGCCTCTTTGGTTCTAACTTCGAATCTCAAATCAAACAAAGCCTTGAATATATACATTATATTTTCTTTAATTAATTCAAATTTCATCTGTAAGATAAAAATACGAAATGATGACAAATATATACTATTATAGTTTTTAATTTTGTTTATTCTTTAAACATTTATATCCAAAGAAATTTAATTTCATTGAAAAAAATTTTACTAAATATTTTAGGTTTTAATATCTTGTTCCTATATTTATATAGATAATTCAATCATATTTTATTTGAAATAAAATAAATCATAGTATTTATACATAAAGTTATAATTTTTTATATATTTATATAAATGAACTAATATCGTACATAATTATTTATTATTGTTTATTTTTTAATGTTACTTAATTTGAATGTTTATAATAAATGAATCTAAAATTATAATTAGGAAAAAATATTTTTTGTCTTTAAACTAAGAAAAGTGTATCAATTTTCAGTATAAACCTTTTTTTTATTACTCAGGAGTTGGCGACCATTTGGTCTTTATGCCCCTATACTTAGGTATAGGTATRCACATTGTTCCCATACCCGTACATATACAAGAAGTCATTGTTGGGTGGAGTTGTATTCCTTGTGATTTGAATCCGATATTGAGACCCAAAACCACCCAAGCTATCCCTTGGAGACTAGCATAAACTTTTAATTTCATTAAAAAAAAGTACAACTTATGGGAGTGACAATTACAGCTAAGCTATGTTCAGTTTTACTAATTTCATCAAATTAAACCTTATAATTTAGATAATTGTTCAGTCTTTACCATCTATTAATGATTTACGCCAACTCACTCATTAATTCAAACAAAAAACAATGTAATATAAAACTCAAAAAAAAAACAAAACTCACTAATTTAATAAAAATCTAGCTTTTCTTAATTAAGTTTGATTAATAAAAAAAACTATAAAATAAATCTAGTGAAACCTACGAATTAACACCAAATGAAAAAAAAATCTATTTTCATTTTTGTTTGAATCCTATCAATTTCAAACCATAGGTATGTTTTATAATTCATTTGACACATGTGGAAATAATTTTTTAGCAATTTTTCAAATAAAAGTCTACTGGAGGGTAAATTTTGCAACACTTTAAAAAGGTTTGTGAATATTACAACACTTATCCAAGTTCATGAACAATTTGATTAAATTGAAAGTTTGTGATAAAAATAGATATACATAGCCAAATGATAAAGTATAATTTTCTTCACTACATTTATATGATATTGTGCCTCTAATATCAAAGTTCTAGATCCTACCACTCTATTAAAAGTAAATGAACCAAATGGACAAAAGTTAAAAATGTAAAAATTAAAATTGACATTTTGAAATTAAATAAATCCAAATACAATTTAAAACCTTAAAATAAAATAATAATTTACAAAACAATTTTCTCTAAATTTTAAGTTTGACTTTGTAATGTATATTTGTAGAGAGAGAGAGAGAGAGAGAGAGAGAGAGAGAGAGAGAGAGAGAGAGAGAATTTGGTTGGCTGTTGTTGACATTGAAAATACAGTGTAAAGGGCAAATGAGAAGGATACAAGTTAAAAACAGTAAGAAATTAAAAATATCTCAAGTGGAGAAGACAAAATAAAACCTAACCAATATGGTTGTTGAGAAACTGTGTTGTGCCAAAGGATGAAGCCAATCCAGCCCATTGGCTTCAATTTTCCACCCCATTTTCTCTCTTTTATTATCTTCGCTTAAATTAAATCCAAACTTTTCAATAAAATATTGTATGCCATTATTCCAAGTGACATATTCAAATAGAATTGTTGTTTTACATAACAAAAAATGAATAATCTATTTCTCAAAATGTAAGACCCTAATTAGGTTGTGTAAATCTAGACGCTYGGTAATTTTTCTTCCTTAATTAACATTAAAAACTTGACTTGTGATTTAAGTAAGGAAACTACATTTAAGTAAAGTTTAAAGACAACATTTGAAAAAATCAACGGTCAAGATCCAAACACGTCTTGCTTAGAGATTATGTTCGGCTCAAAATTTAAATAAACTCAAAATAAWAAATTTGAATATACACGTAACTATTGTATTTTTTGAAAGGTAAGTAACTAGAAAAGAAGTTCATGACTTTGAATTTTATTTATTCTCGTTGAAACAATTTAAGTTCGGTATACTCATCGTTGTTGCAGGAGTGACATAGCTTTGGTTTTTTTTTTTTTTTCTTCTGGTGGTTAGAAAGGAGATTTGTGAGGTAAGAGTGGTGAGAAATTTGTGATAGAGATGRGCGATGAGCGCAGCCGAAGGATTTGTTAAATGCGGCAGCGACCGGCCGGCGCCAATAACTATAAAGTATAAAACTAAAAAAGTAGGCCAATTCAATGTAATGTAGGTGTTGTTATCGACCTTCAACCACTCAACATCCAATACTCCCATCCCCTCTCTTACTTCCGCCTCACATTTTCTTCTCTAATTAATTTCAAATTTCTTCCATCAATCTCAACCCCAAGTATTGTTGAATTCCAACAAAAAGAAAAATAAATAAATAAACATATATATTCGCTCTATATGCTTTTATTGGACTAACAATTAGTTGAAGTTTTGTAGTATAGTATTTGAAAGGGTGTGGTCTATAAATTTTGGTTTTGGTTTTTAATAATTTGATTTTTTTTTTTATAGTTTAGAATTTGTAATGATTTAGTGATCTCTGCGGTGAAAAAATTCATTCAAATGTTACGTGTTTTTTTAGTCTAAATTACTTGGAGATTAAATGTGATTTTAAACTATGGACCAAATTATTGCACACTAAAAATCTAGGTTAAATTAAAAAAAAACCATGAATTTTGTTATTTGTTACGAAAATGTACATGTCTAGTACTATTGACCTTTCATAATTGTTTCAAAAATGTCATTCGAGTAAACATTCGTTAATATTTTGAACAGAAAGTTGACGTGATAGAATTTTGAATAACATGACAATTAACATAAAAGTCTTGCATAGTCTGAAAAGAGATGAAATGTGTATGAAACTATCATTTCTAAAAGGGGGAGATTATGACAAAACTTAACCGACAATGGAGAAGTGAAGTCTGTTGGTAATGGAGAAAGGAAGACTTTTAGGACAAAATTAGGGATATAAAACTACGTTAATAGTCACATCATTCTATATTATGCCACATCAACTTTTCACTTAAAATATTAGTGAATGTTTGGTTAATGGTATTTTTGGAACATTTATAAAATGTTGAAGGCAATATCTAAACTTTTGAAAGAATAGATATATTTTTAAAACAAATGACAAAGTTCAAAGCTACTTTGAGTAAATTAGTAAAAAAAAAAATCTATATTTCACCTTGAGAATGATTTTTTAGGACATGGATGGACCTACCTCCGACCTACYTAAGAACATGTGTTTATTTCTAAATCGTCATCTCCCACTCATTATCAACCACATAACTTAACGTTTTCGTCACTCCATAGCGATTACATTGTTATAAATTTTAAACCAGTACAAAACCAAATTATTGTGTAGCATAGTAAAGGAAGAAAATAATAATTTGAATATTGAAACAAAATGGAAAATGGAAGGAAGAATTTAACACTTAACCCATTTGATGAAGTTTCTCTCTCTTTTCCCCCAATTGAGATGTCTCTCCAACCACATGGATCCCTTCTTCATGCATTATTTTTGTCATTATAACATTGCCTACCCTCCCTCCCTTTATAAACCCCATCTCCTCCCCAACTTATCTCCCACATTTTTCTCTCTGTTAATTCCCAATGGGGGCTTATCGCCAATTCCCGGCCATCTCAAAATGCTGCTCCGAGGGCCGCTCCGGCCAGACGGTGGCCGCCGATTTGGACGGAACTCTCCTCGTCTCCCCCAGCGCCTTCCCTTACTTCATGCTCGTCGCCGTCGAGGCAGGCAGCATTTTCCGGGGAATCCTGCTTCTGGCGTCGGTGCCGTTCGTTTACTTCGTGTACTTGTTCTTGTCGGAATCCGTCGCCATTCAGGCGTTCGTGTTCATTGCGTTCGCCGGATTGAAGGTCGGCGACATCGAGACGGTGGCGCGCTCTGTTTTGCCCAAATTTTACTCGGAGGACGTCCATCCGGAGACTTGGAAAGTGTTTAATTCGTTCGGGAAGAGGTATGTTGTGACGGCGAATCCCAGGATTATGGTGGAGCCGTTTGTGAAGACGGTTTTGGGCGCCGATAAGGTCATCGGAACGGAGCTCCGAGTGACGAAATCCGGCCGGGCCACCGGGTTTGTGAAAAAACCCGGCGTTCTCGTCGGCGATCTGAAAAAGACGGCGCTTCTGAAGGAAGTCGGCGCTGACACGCCTGATTTGGGCCTCGGTGATAGAGAAACCGACCACGATTTCATGTCAATTTGCAAGGTCTATTTCCAATCCCTCCCATCTCTCTCTATCATATAATTTGTTAAATTCTTTTTTGACATGGAATGATACGAAGAAAATAGAGATTTTTCTAAAATTTAATGAGTTGTTAAATTTTGGAAGATGGTAAAGATAACATTTGGTCTCACCGAATCAAGTATTTTTAAAAGAAAAAAAAATTCGAATTCTTACTGATTTTTCTAATGTGACAGTGACTAAGTTTTTTATCAGAGACATGAAAAATTTTTCTTTTTAACATTTTGGATATATAATCCTTCGAGACTAGATGGAAATTACACAATAATTACATCATATTGTGTAGTATAATAAATATTCGTCTTATTTATGCAATAAAAATACACCACGTCAGAGAACAAAATTATTATAAATTTAAAATATTATTGTAAACGTCAAATATTTATGAATAATATTTGCATACACGTAGAAATTTTTCTTGAACCGTTAAAAATACACCAAATAGAGAAAATCAGTATAGGCAAGTATTTATAAAAGATGATTATGGAAAATCTATATTGGATTCACTTTTTTGTGATTTCGTTAAATGAAAGGGATTAACAAGGATAATTATGTGTGTAGGTTTGATTATTTGAATGATTTAGTAATTAATAACTTACTAAATTATTTGTAATATCGTAGTTTATCTACTATTAATGCTACACCTAGAGGGTCTAGTCTAGTTGTATATTTGGTGGCTCAATTCCCAACCAAACCTCAATAAATTTCATTTCAAAAGATTTTAAACCTTCCAGCTGTTATTTTTTTTTTCCTGTCACGTGCATTCAATTACTACTCTTTAGAATAATCATTTTTTAGGTTCAACGAAAATTCTTCAATATTTTGAATTAAAATATATGTTTTAACCTTGCACAAACTTGTTCGTGCCAACGAGTTAATAATTAAATTTTTATTTCTATTTACATTTTAAAAAAATAAGATTACATGTTGTGATGGCAACTCATATGGCCATAAGATCTTCATGCCATACCAACTTCTTCCTCACGACACCATAAGCTCAATTTTGTGACAGTCATGCACCATGGATGAAGAATATTAGTTATCATAAATTTTGATATTTGAAAGAATTATTATATAAATATATTTGGGAACTATTATATGTACAAGCTCTAATATTGAAATGATTTTAAAGGCTTTTACTTTTAATAATTATAATTGTTAATTCCAACATAGTTTGATGAATAATGCACAAATAACAAAAACTGTTAGCATGATTTAACTAAAATATCTAAAACTTTTGAAAAAATAAAAAAGATATTTTATTAACGTAGGATTTGAGAGGAGGGTTTTATGTGTGCATTATTATTATTATTATTATTATTATTTGCAATAGTGCATTATTTATTATTTTGGGTTATAATTTAATTTGACCTTGAATTTTCAGGAAGGATATATGGTCCCACGGTCGAAATGTGAGCCGTTGCCGAGAAACAAGCTTTTAAGCCCAATTATTTTTCAYGACGGCCGATTTGTGCAGCGGCCCACTCCGGTGGCGGCGCTTTTAACCTTCTTGTGGCTGCCGATCGGCTTAATTCTTTCAATCCTCAGAGTCTACACCAACATTCCCTTGCCGGAAAGAATCGCTTGGTACAACTACAAGCTTCTCGGAATCAAAGTCCTCGTTAAGGGCACTCCGCCGCCGCCGCCGAAGAAAGGCCAGAGCGGCGTCCTCTTCGTCTGCAACCACCGCACCGTCTTAGATCCGGTGATTGTCGCCGTCGCCTTGGGCAGAAAAATCAGCTGCGTCACTTACAGCATCAGCAAATTCACGGAGATAATTTCTCCGATCAAGGCCGTCGCTCTGTCGAGGGAGAGAGAGAAAGACGCGGCCAACATTAAACGCCTACTTGAAGATGGCGACCTCGTGATTTGCCCCGAAGGGACCACCTGCAGAGAGCCATTTCTGTTGCGATTCAGTGCTCTGTTCGCCGAGCTAACGGACAGAATCGTCCCCGTTGCCATTAACACCAAACAGAGTGTGTTCTACGGGACGACGGTTAATGGACACAAATTGCTCGATCCCTACTTCGTGTTCATGAATCCAAGGCCGACTTACGAGATCACGTTCTTGAACCAATTGCCGGCGGAGCTGACCTGCAGCGGCGGCAAGTCGGCGATTGAGGTGGCCAATTACATCCAGAGGGTACTCGCCGGAACCCTAGGGTTTGAGTGCACGAATTTGACCAGAAAGGGGAAATACAGCATTCTCGCTGGAACGGATGGTCGAGTTTCTCCCGAGAAAGAAAAAGGCCAGATTAATTAAAGCTACTTTTTCTATTTTAAAAAAAAAGAAGAAAAAAGAAATCCCATAATTCTCTATTGGTTTGATTTTCTAAAAGTTAATTATTAGAAAAGAAAAATAAAATTCGGCTGTCGAGATGGATGGTCATAGATTAATTTATAAATCGTTTTTATGTATATTGTTGTTTTGAATATGTATACAAAAAATGTCGTCGCTTTAATTTGCTTCGATCTGGATCATTTTCTACGAGGACAAATTTGTACAACATTTATGATTTTACCCCATCACTTTAGTTAATTGCATTTATGAGCTAAGGGTAAACGGCAGTAAGGCGGACGTTGGTGGCGACGCGGCGGCGCTGGTGGCGGCAGTACCTTAAAACAGTTGAGATTCGCCAGTTGGTAAATTAAAAGGGGGATAATTTGGGTGGCAATATGAATATGGGTATTAATATCTCTGCAACTTCCATTGTATAAAGGTACAACAAGCCATAAGAGCCAAAAATATCAGAAATGGAAGAAAAAAAAGGTAAATTCATTAAATAAAATTTGTCATCTATTTGTTGAAATAAAAAAAGGGCAACGTTTTGGTTGGTTCTTAGGTTATGGTTTGGTGGAGGGGTAGATTTAAATGTAGGGGAGAAATCATAATAACCAATAGTAGGAGGCTATATAATAAATCTCACACCAACCAAATTTATGGGAATCGAGTGCCATTTACTTTAACAACAGATACATATATTAAGATTTAAATATTATTTTTTGTCCATTTTAGTCCTTGACTCTGAAAACATTAATTTTAATTTATATACTTTCAATTTTAGTTTTCATACTTTTGAAATACCTATTTTGCTTATGGTTCTTTTAAAGAGTGATTATTTTAATTGATGTACTCTCAATTTGTATTCTTCTTAAAAGTGTAGGRCCAAAACAGAGATTTTAAAAGTATCGAGACTAAAATGCATTRAAATAAAATGTGTAACGATGGAAATAGTATTTAAACGCACACGTAAGGTAAGAGAGAGAGAGGAGATAAGCAAATAATGAAGGAAATGAAGGTGTGATTTAAGAGAGGGAGAGATGACAGACTGKAAAGGTTGCGGTTGGAGGGGAAGAGAAATGAATTTAGGGAGGGGGTCATAAATGTCAACTAATTGGGATGGCTGAGCCTTAAAATTTGGTTGAACAATGTGTTGAGTGGTGCACATCATGCGCTGTGAGTGAGTGGTGACGCTGTCAAGTCAACCAATCCCTATTCGCTATTTCTTTCTCTCTCTTTCCCCACTGCACCCCAGCCCTACCATTTATCTCTCTACATGTGCATGGGCCGTGGGCCGTGGGCCGTGGGGCTGGATCACTTCCAAGCTTATCTGATACTGGGCTGCCTTGTGGGCTCACCTGAGGTTTGCCACGTTGTTTTGGGCTCATCTCTATTATCTTCCCAAATTATGAGTTTAGTGACACCTATCATGATGAAGAACGGCTCGTMTTGCCATMAACTTCTCTTTAATGCGGAGTTGATTATCCCTCTCGAAAACGCAGATTTGAAGTGGTCTATAATTTACTGGGATAGAGAATCCATCGYTGTCTCGGCTGTGCTATCGAAAGCTTTGGAGAAGTCGGAATAGGAGAGCACTCATCATAGGGTGGGCTTACTACTTGGATGCTTTGAGCAGTTATCCGCTCCGCACTTGGCTACCCGAAGTTTATCATGGGCACGATAGCTGGTACACCAGAGGTGCGTCCTTCCTGGTCATCTCATACTAGTGAAAGGTCCTCTCAATGTTCTAATGCCCAATACTGGATATGGACCGAATTGTCTCACGACGTTCTGAACCAAACTCACGTACTGTTTTAATGGGCGAACAACCCAACTCTTGGAACATAACAATCCCCATGTCGCAAAGAGCCGAGATCAAGATGCTAAACCTTCCTCTCGACGTGAGCTCTTGAAATTACATTTAATAGGTCTTCAAATTTTTTATTTTGTATGTAATAGGATAATACATTTAAAAATATTTAATAGGCCTCAAAGTGTCGCATAAATATGTAAATTTTTTTAACCAATAAATATGTAAATTTTAACAATGTCGAATCGAATAGACATAATCTTCAATGTTGAGGGACTAAACTTGTAATTTAACATTTCTTTAATTCCACAAAGAGGTGGGTGAAGATTARGGATGACAAAAATACCTGCAAGATCAGACCCCAACGGGTACTCGACCCAGGTTGGGGATTCTYCAGTTTGACCGGGGATAGGGTCAAACCGGGGATGGGGATCAGTCCCCCTGCCCCGTCCCCCCGTCCCCGGCCTGTTTAATTTTTTTAATTACTTTTTCTATTTTTTTATATAATAATATTAATATATATTAATTTTATAAATACTTTTGTTAAAAAAAAAAACTCAAACTAATACCCATTTAGCCACTTCTTATTCAATTYTTATACTAATAATAACAAAAATTAATTTAAAAAATTAAAAAAATGTACCGATCGGGGAATCCCTGACTCATCACCGCCCCCAAAATTTCGGGGACGGGGGTGGGGATGGGGATGACCCACCGACCTCGCCCCGCCCGTTGCCATCCTTAGTGAAGATTGRCTTTATGATATGTGAGACAATGTCTTAACTCCTCAGTTTAAAGTTTTTAGACTAAATTACAAACATACCCTTCAACTTTACTTTTGTTTAAGAAATACTTATATTATTTAAAAAGTTTCAATACTACTCTATCYTCYATAAACGTTTCAAAAATACTATTTRAGYAAATATCCATTAATATTTTGAATGTGATTTCTTTTAACACTTAATAAAAACAAGAYTCCAAATTAGTTGACATGATCTCATCTTTACCATRGTCAAACTTTAAAATAAAAAAGAAAAAATTAGCAATACCAATTTCAGTTTCCTCGGTTGATAAATTGATGACACTATTTGTTCTCTAATCTTTTCCATCTCAACACCACACTTGTTCTACTAAAAAAAACACTCGAACAGTTAGAATGAAAAAAATAGCGGTTTTTCTTCCGAACTCGATAACCGAGCCGGACTACAAAAGCCCGGGTTGAATCTCGGTTTATTTGGGCCGAGAGGGTCGCTCATCGCTGAGGAGGCTTGCTTTTCTGCCAAGAAAACCCCCAAGAAAAAGGGCTTAATCAGCTGCTCCTTCCATTTTATTTCTTAGTGGGTTTAGCTTTAGCCGAGAATCGCGAATTCGAYTGAGCTCCGAGACACTGCAGGAATTTTCGCCATGGATGTGATCAAGACGCAGCAAATATCATCGAGGCCAGTCGAGAAGGTCGTAGTCCACCCTCTGGTTTTGCTCAGCATCGTCGATAACTACAACCGAGTTGCTAAGGAATCCCGCAAACGAGTCGTAGGAGTTCTACTTGGTAGCTCTTTCAAGGGCACCGTCGACGTCAGCAATAGCTATGCAGGTCCTTATTCTCCTTTCATACTGTTTTCTCTCTCGCCTCTTGTCATAAACTTACTGTATCGTGTTTGGATCTGAATCTTTTTCTGTCGTTTGATTCGGRTTCATAGCTGAAACTACGCGAYTTTTACGATAATGATGCATGGAATTTGGGCATTTTATTTGGTACTTCTCTGAAATTGACAGTAGTTGAGCATAAATCAGAATTAGCTGCGAGGACTCGAAATGTGCCTTTCTAGTGGATGTCCTGATTCACGAAAAAGGGATTAAAAGAAGTGATTGTTTGTGCTTTGGGTCATTTTTATAAGAGAGAGGATTTCTTTCTGTCATGCAAAATCTTTTAGGTTGCCCCTCATTATGAATTGATTAGGATTCAGGCCTTCAGTTGGCTGCCGTTCCCACTTGCTGTGGTCGTTACTCTTTCATGGTTCTTATGACACTGAAAATTCGTTGTGTAACCTACACTCGATTGAGTCATGTAATTGGGAATTGCTGCTTTGAAGGACTTGACATCAGAAGTTTTCAATAATTTAGTCGCACAATGTGTAAAACCTTGAATTTCATGGTAAAATTGGTCTTATCCATCTGACTTAAGATTGTGTCGACTTCCGGTCGAACCATTGTGTTTTTTAGCCATAGTTTTCATTTCTTTCCATTCTAGGCATCTGCAATTTCCTCTACACTATGTTATTAGTTTACCCATGTATCTAAACTAAACGAGTCCAGTAAGGTGGTTATTGTTCTGATGGGTACTCTGGCGAGTTTTCTATCTTTGGACTACCAATTACCTTTATATGCTATACTCTCTTCGTTTCAGTGCCCTTTGAAGAAGACGAGAAAGATCCAAGCATATGGTTTCTTGATCACAACTACCATGAGTCGATGTTTTCAATGTTTAAGAGGATAAATGGTAATTTCTCTATTTCTAATGCATTTTGTGCTCTTTCCATGTTGAGAATTGTTTGTTTACATGAATTTGTGGACATGCTTCAGCTAAGGAGCACATCGTAGGTTGGTATAGCACAGGCCCAAAGCTTCGGGAGAATGATCTAGATATTCACCAGTTGTTCCACAAGTAAGATCTCCATACTTGTTTGGTATTGAGGTTCTCAAAATTTTATTTTCAAGTTCTCAAATTCTGCATTGGTATAAACTATTCTGTTTGTCCTGTCTCCTGTTTTCTCTATGTTCATTTGTATAGCTTTCTGAGCTAGTTTTTTTTTTATGAAATTTCATTTGACCAATTTAGATTCTATTGGAAACCATTCTATGATCAGTCAATGATGAATGTTTTATCCTTTTGACCGATGTTTTTTTGGTTACTTTGTTAGTCACTTATATGCTCTTTGGTGTATTTTAGTTATGTCCCAAATCCTGTGCTTGTGATTATCGATGTACAACCAAAGGAGCTGGGAATACCCACTAAAGCCTAYTATGATGTTGAAGAAGTTAAAGAGGTACGGTGGTATCTCTTTCCCCCAAAATATCAGATGCATTGAAGAGTTAATGGTTCTGAATTCACTATTAAAGATAATTTTCTAATTGCCCATACATATCTTCTAATTTGGGGTGACAGAATGCTACACAAAAAAGTCAGAAGATCTTTGTTCATGTTCCTTCAGTTATTGCTGCTCATGAGGTTGAGGAAATTGGTGAGTTATAAAATGAGATTCAAATCTTCATTTTAGAGTGGGTTACGAGTTCTATTATTTTTTTACCACATAATATTCTTGTTTTATCTAAATACAGGTGTGGAACACTTACTAAGGGATGTAAAGGATACCACCATTAGTACACTTGCCAATGAGGTTTATTGTCTTACTATTGCTTGTCTTGCATTGCAGTTTTTATCTAAATGCAGTTTTGTGACTGACCTGATGTATCAAGCTTCAACTTTTAGACAACATTTGGTCATAAAGGCATTGACAAAGATGAATGATTTTTTATAGGTTACTGGAAAACTTACTGCTTTAAAAGGTTTGGATGCACGACTACGAGAGATTCGCGGTTACCTTGACCTTGTTATTGATGAGAAGCTTCCATTAAATCATGAGATTCTTTACCATTTACAGGTTCCATTTTCTCTACCTTTTTTCCATGGGTTTTTGATGCATCTCACTTCATTATATTGATGTACCTGTTGTGTGTGTTACAGTATGTATTTGCAATGTGCTTTCTGCACTATCTGTCCAAGTAAAATTATAAATATATTCCATAACTCTAAACATGTTTTCTGCTGTTTTAAAAAGCATGCCTAGGTGCTTAATCTGGTGGGTAAGCAAGGTGACCTTGCTCTACAATTTTGCACCTCCAAGAGATTCACAGTTAAAAAAGTAAAAAACACTTTTTAAGAAAAAATTTCTTATATACGAGTACCCTGTCTATTTTTAAATTGACAAGGAACATATCTATTTTTTCTTTTGTTTGTTAGTCGAACTTTATATGGCAGAAACTTTATTGTTTTCAAAATTTATATTCTTAAAAAAGTGATTTACTAGTGCTATTTATTTACTTTTTTTCTTTTTTAAATTGMATATAGYGTTTCACCTCACTCAAGCATTGGCAACATGCTCTGTATCTAAGACTACGCAGCTCTTGCGCCTTGAAAAAGTCTGGTTTTTCCTCATCTCATAATGTTAAAACTTTTTTAGTAACCAAAGGATTGGAACACCTTCATGATTTAACTCCTTGGGCAAAAAGGTCTAGACAGTCTCTAGTTTCAAGTCTAATGAACATAAAGATGCAGTGAGATGGGAAAACRAGTTCCAATGAAACAAGATGTCCAATAAGAACATCCACATATCTTTTCTCACCATCCCCATAGTGTATTAGACAAATGTATGCATTTTGATTAGGGGGATCGTGTATCAACAGTCGATGTGGCGGTCGGTGGACAATTGTTAGATGCATTTCGCACATGTGACCTATAATTTTCAATGCATACAACCATTTTTGTCTGTTTTCTATGTAACATTCTCTTTATCTTGTAAAAACTTCCTCATTCATGAATGATATTCTTTTGTGCATTATGTGGTGTAAAAAATACTAAAATGGAGTGGGCTAATTGATTTATAAGTTTTCACCCCGAAAAGATATACCCATGTTTTATTTCATACTAAAACTGCAGGATGTATTCAACCTTCTTCCAAACCTAAATGTGGCAGAGTTGATTAAATCATTTGCAGGTAATGCTAACTGAAGATTCTTAGTTGCTTTATCGACATGTTTCCTTGAAAACCTTGATCTATATTTACCCTAATGTGCAGTAAAAACCAATGATATGATGCTGGTTATATATCTTTCCTCACTCATCCGTAGTGTCATTGCACTTCATAATTTGATCAATAACAAGGTAAATTCTATCCCTTTCCACCAGATTTATTTAACACATATTAATGTATCAGTTATCTCATTATTGTGCATTGATCTTGTGCTAAATCCTTTTTCCAGATGCTAAACAAAGAACACGAAAAGGCTGAGGATGCAAAACCAGCCGCCATCCCCACAGTGTCTGGAAACTGACGTGCAACTTCCATCGGTCCATGGAAACATCTGTTGTTTTGGGAGTTGAAGGAACTAGTTATCTGTTTGTCGGGTTCTTGATAGATGGATATTTTTGTTTTATCCTATTGGAAGAGATAGCTAGTTTCTCAGAATGTATTTTCCTCATCATTTTTTCTTCAATGTTAATTGTACACCCTCACTTTAACCGCGAAAACGTTGACCACTCATTTCTTTCTTTTCTCATAGGGTTCCTATGCCTTGTAGAAAAGAAATTGAAGTCAGGTTGAATGGATGGATGGATAGAATCCTTTTCTCCTGTTATTGATGGAAAAAAGTGGTGAATTTATATTGTGGAATGGTTAATTTTTTCCCTTTCTTTTAAGTATTACCAAATGGAGTGATTTCAATGGAAGGAATAGAATTGGAGTGCTTTTACCGTTGAATTATACTGACGTTTTACATCCGTTCAAAGGTTGAAATTGTTTTATTGGGTGAAGGTTTTTTCTCGATCAACGAACATTATCTTTTGGGTCTAATGTTGCCCTTGCTATATATTAGATTAGTTAGTTACATATAGTGTATTAGTTAATCTTATATAACTGCTTGTATACAGTTGGGTGGTCTAAATGTAGACCTATCTTTTATTAATAAAAATATGTAAATTTAATTTACTCTCCTCTAAGATGGTATCAGAGTGGGAGGTCCTTCCTCCCCATTTATTATAATTTTCATTTGTTGGGTCTTGATGTTTTCCAAATCCACAAGTGATGGGAGTGTTAGAATTCATATAAATTAATTAAATTTATCCAATCTATCAGATTAAGCTTTTGGGTTGAGTGGTRATTTGTTCATTCTTAAAACTATATACTTTCGTTTCAAATAGAAATACTTAATTTTCATAATAGTATTTGATCCTAAGGAGTGAACTGAACTGATTATTTCTTCACTGTAATTTAATAATACCATATGTAAACCTTTAATAAAAAATATTGTTGGTATCTTTTGGGCCAATAATGTCACAATTCTTTTCCTTTTTTTTCTCAACAGGAGTGTGAGTAGAGGTTGAACTCGCATTGTATTATTTGATGATTGATCTAATAATATGATTTCGTTTATTTTTTTTAGACTGACATTCATTTTATTTAAAATACTATTAATTTCGCTTAGGATTTTGATAATATTAGATATGTATATTTTTTTGACGAAAATATTTGATGATAGATAGAATCATATAAKTAATGAGGAAATCAATTTTTTCTTTTGAAACATGTAAAAGGTTCGTGACTTATTCTATAATCAATTATTAATTTCAATTCCAATTCCAATGACTGTTGAGTTACCATTACCAACGTATTTTTGTTCGAGGTTGGGATTCAAAGGCCAAAGCGCAACAGTAATTTACTTACATCTCAAACAAAGAGATTGTGAGTTCAATTCTCCGCCCTTACACTAAAAAAAAGTTGGGATCCAAAGAGAAATTTATAATTAATTAGAAAATATTTTTCATTTTGAAAAAAAAAATCAGAATTTAAAATTTAACAAAATAAGGAGGGAGCGAGGATGCAATGCGTGCTTAACAATGGCGGCACGCCGGTACGAAACTATATACTGAAGATTTGAAATTAGCGTCCGATTGATTTCAGCTTGGGACGGACCTAACAATAGATCTCTATTGTACGAATTTCCTCCTTCTCTTGTTCTTCCTTTTCTCTGCTTTTGCTTTTCGTCACCATGTGARCATACTCCGGTTCTGTTGCCCTAATTCATTCCATTATATCTATCGACTTCGGTGCATTTATGTCTATGCCGTTGCAATTTGAAATTTGGCTGAGTTAGACAGTTAGTTTTCTGTTATTTTGTGTAACTTTGTAATCAGTTGACGATTGGTTGAGGTGTAACTATTAGTGAGCTTGAGTAGTTTGTTGTTGATAACTTCATAAATAGACCCTTGAAGTTGATATCAGATATGACAGAAATAATATTAATTCTCCGAGTTAGAGAATTGTTTCTGGTTCTGTCTGGTTGGATGTAAGCACTTGTCGGGTGTAGAGGTTTTTTATAATCCAAGGCACATAAGATGCTCGATGAAATGCCTGACCAAGACTTCTCATCTCTACACTATTCATGTAAAGGTTTTATTGTAGGATGTGGTATTCTGAGGTGAAGATTCTAAAGTTAGTTCTTACAGCTGTTTGAGTACACCACTCGACGTGTTCTAATCTGGAACTTTTAACTGTTCAATTAGATATTTTTGCTCTATTTCATTTTTAATCATGAACTTGGCAACGTCTTGTTATTATTGGAAAGCAGGAATGTGATGGTCAAATTGGATTGCTGTTGTAAGGCTTGTTGACTCTATACCAAAATTGATTTGGTTTTTGGGTTGAGGATTACATATTTTTATTCGGACTTTCTTTGAGGACCAATTTTAACTTTCTTGCTGGGTTTGAAAGTTGCCAGGAGGTCTGTTTGTTCAACACTATCAGCAACTCTTGCTCGATCCTTCAATTATGGGCAAAGCTTCAAGAGATAAGAGGGTTTAAGCACTATTCTGTTTTGACTATCTATCTTTGTGATTCACTATTTTTTCCCACATTTTATTTACTTGGTCTTGTTTTCAGGATATATACTACCGTAAAGCAAAAGAAGAAGGTTGGCGAGCTCGAAGTGCATTTAAACTTCTTCAGATAGATGAGGAATTTAACATATTTGAAGGTTTGCTCTTGAATTGGGCACCTCTATCTCTCTCTTAAAACATTCTGACATTTCTGCTAGAGAAGTCAACCACTGAGATGGTCCAGATGAATATTAAAGATTCCTTTTTCAAGAATACTCTTTTCCTTTGTTTTTTAGGAGTTTTGTCACCTGGAGAAGTCATTCTTTCCTCATGAACAATGTTGCAACATTTTGGATTAACCTCCATAACATAATTGTTTTCCAGAATCCTCCTAAAATCTGTGTTATTTGTCATATCATGTATAAGTCTTGTAAATACGTCTAAGTAACAACGAAATTTCAAATGCAGGAGTCAAGCGAGTGGTGGATTTATGTGCAGCCCCTGGTAGCTGGAGCCAGGTAATCTCTTTTGGGTATCTTTTTGTTGCAATCAGTGTGTCAAACTAGTAAAACACAACTATTTATAACAAGAATTCTTCTTCGAGTGATCAACATCGTAAGCATTTTTTTTTCCTTTGTTGAATAGCATGTCTCTATATATGCGGGGCAAGGCTTGCCTCCCTTCATAGCACCCTGCATCTTCGTGCGCTTTTCAAAAGTAATGATTGCATTAGTCGTTCTTGAAGAAGGGAAGAAAATAACTTGAATCCCTTAATTTTTAAGCACTTTAATAGAACATTTATTTTAAATTTTTGTTGTCTCATTTTCCATTACATTATATTTTTGTTTTTTTATATATTAAACCCCATAGGCTATAAGCAATGTCTTATATGTTGCTCCAAGCCTGCAACTATCCCTCATAAATATGATTTTTTGGCTACCTATTTCCAAATTATCTTAACCTTTTCTCCTSTACTTATCATATGTAGGTCCTTAGTAGGAAATTATATCTCCCAGCTAAGCTTTCTTCTGTTTCTAAGTAAGTTATGGTAGATTATTATAAAAAATGTAACTGTTTCCTTCCCGTCCTTCTTTCTGTTTGCACCTTGTGATTTCCCTATTTCATTGATTCTCTAGCTTGCTTCACAGGGATGGCGATCTTCCACTTATTGTTGCTATCGATTTGCAACCGATGGCCCCAATTGAGGGTGTTATTCAAGTACAGGGTGATATAACAAATGCTAGGACCGCTGGAGTGGTAAGTAGAATCATGTACACAGTATTTTTAAACATTTGTGTAGAAAAATTTCGAAGTATTGAATATTCTGTCAACTAAACGAATCAGATTCTATGCACAGATTTGGTTTGTTTTGAAATTTCTATTTGCGATAATTTCTCCTATGCTTTTCTCCATATTGGATTTTGTTCTCTTTTGAACGAGCAAACAAGTCTGTTAGAAGTCTTTCATTTTATTCAACAATTTGATCACATATTATATTGTCATATTTTTTAATGTATGGCTTATCAAATATTTACTTTTTCCAGGTCATTAGGCATTTTGATGGGTGTAAGGCTGACCTGGTGGTTTGTGATGGTGCTCCTGATGGTAGATACTTATACTTGTATTTTCTTTTTTTAATTGTATGTTGAGATTTTACATGATGACATTTTTGTTACCAATTACGTGTTCATTTGTAGTTACTGGTCTTCATGACATGGACGAATTTGTTCAGTCCCAGCTCATACTAGCTGTAAGTACTGTGTTTTTCTACGGATACTGATTGCTTCTCGTGGTGAGGCTGATGCATAGTTTAAGATAATTGAAAATGCGTGATGTATATGTTGACAGCAATGATGTTGCTTCAGCTCACATTTACAGTGTGTGTGGAAAGGATACAAAGGAATAACCAACAAGAAGCATTAATGAGTCAAATTGTTTGAACCTACAAATAGAAATTAACGTGTAACAAGTGAGCAAGGTAGATCCCTTTAGGTAAAATGTGATTGCTGTATTCCGAAATTATATYGAACCAGTCAAAGGGTTTTGCTATTATATGTTGCCTGCAMTTGTTGAGCCTTTTCTTCTATGGATTATGTTCCACCTAAGTGAATTTTTTAGCTTCCATCACTGTCCTGTGCTGCCTCTTCTCTCTCTCTTCCTTGAGCTAGTTTCAATATAGTGGGACTGGTTCATACATAAGGTTCACATAGCTGAGCCACGCTTTCCTCTTTTTTTTTATTTTTTTATTTTTGCAGGGTCTAACAATAGTTACCCACGTTCTTAGAGAAGGTGGTAAGTTCATAGCAAAGATATTCCGTGGAAAGGATACAAGCCTTTTGTATTGTCAGGTATATGTTATGATTGTTACAGTACCCATTCAAAGAAACATGTAATATGCTCAAGTGACAAATTTATGGCGTTTTCACGAACTGCAAAAAATCTCTTCTCCCTTCTACTTTCTTTTGTTAGTCAGTCAAGTTTGAAGGTTTGCCGTGAGCTCTTCTGTTGCTTGTGATTATTGCGTTGATGTGCATATTCCTTTTAGATATGTTTAGCATTAGTAGAACTTGTTAAATATAATGATGAGCTACATAAGAATCTTAATATAAGAGAGGTGTTTGTTGCTTCATACATGAAGTCGTCAATGATGTCATACATTTTGGTGTTTTTTGTGGCAGCTGAAGTTATTTTTCCCTGTAGTGACTTTTGCAAAACCAAAAAGCAGCCGCAACTCCAGTATAGGTACCCTTTTTCCTACTTTTTTCTTTATTGGTAGCTCTATAGGTTCATCTTTCGTTTATAATTGAACTTCTTTCCTGAAAATGATACCCTCCTTATTGAAATTGCCTTTTTATGTCTTTGTAGTGTCTAGTTCATAGGATTCTTGCGCATTGATGTTCAGATACCCATTGTACTTAGATTCCTTCAATGAGCTTTAGATTGTTATCGTTTAATACTAGGTGGGACTGGTGGCCCGCCAACTGCAAATTTTGGAGTTAGCTCATTTTTGTGGTGACATCTGTAAAATAAAAAAACATGTAAAAGAGGACAAAAACAGCTAATGGTTAAATTATTAAATTCAACTCTAAACTATGATGGATGTGTCTTTGAACATCCTTGAAGGGTTCATTTGATTCCAATAAGTCTATTTTGTTAAAATTGTTACATAAATGTATGACAAATCAAACTAAATAGACTAACCAGTGATGATTTAATATGACGTAACAAGTGATGATTTAATATGACGTAACATGAAAAGGTAGGCCAATTAGATTGAATAATGGTAGATTGGCCCAAAAATTTGATGGGAGCAGGGGCGGGAAATACATCTTAAACGAATTTTTTTATTTGACTACCCTAGTAGCTTCTTTTGTGTGTCACATCCTACCAAATCATTATTCATTAGTTCAATCAACGTTTCATGTCAACATTTAAACAAACAACAGTGTTAACTATAAAAGTTTATTGAAAAGCAAAATCGAAKGTTCAAGGACATAATTGGAACTTTTAGAAATGGAGAGAGTAAAGTTCAAKAACTAAATTAGTAATAAYRTTACCAATTAAATTACTGCTATTTCTAAGTTCCAGTGCTTTCATTTAGTCACGTAGGTGGAGCCACGGTGAAAACTTGTAAACAAAGTTCAGATTATGATTTAACTTTATGTTGATGTTGAAGCTCATACATGTACTGGGTGTGAATGCAGAGGCATTTGCAGTTTGTGAGAACTATTCCCCTCCTGAAGGTTTCAACCCAAAAGATCTGCATCGCCTACTAGAAAAGGTGGGAAGTCCGTCAGKAGGAGATGACTTAGGTAAACTCAATGTTCTGCCTTGATTTTGGAGTTTACATATCGGTAGACACATCCTAAGAATCAAGCATGTTCTTATTTCTTATCCTGCTTTTAAAAATTAATTTGTTTTACAGCTGGCAATGACCAAGCTGTCTTCTTGTCTTCTGCCTTTTTAAAATTAGTGTCTCTGGTTTTGATGAGTCAATTCCCTGGTATYTTTTGTTACACAAGAGGAAGTAATAGCATTGCTATTTTGCCCCATCGTGTCCCTCTCAGATTGCAGTAGTGGGTGGCTGGAAGGTCCCAATAAAGTTTACATACCGTTTCTTGCCTGTGGGGACCTCAGTGGATATGACTCCGACCGTTCATACCCACTKCCCAGAGGTGCCGAGGGCGCTTATCGGAGCTTAGATCCTGTGCAGCCCCCGATCGCCCCTCCTTACAAGAGGGCTCTAGAAATGAAGAAAGCTTCCAGTCAAGGAGGTCGAKAACTTGAAAAACTTTCCTCGGATTCCTGATTATGCTATTCAATGTTAGTTAGATAACAAAAAAAAAAAAAGCTGTTTTGGATGGACCGGTAATTATTAAGAAACAGCAATCATTTGTCCCTCCCCCCCYCTCTCTCTCTCTCGTTTAAAGTGATGATTTCTCTGTCCTATTTATGTAAAGAGTTTTGGCTGAGGATATTGATTTTGATTCCTTTAATTTGAAATATATGAAGATAACGGAGATGTATTATGATTTTGATTAGCCCGAGATTATCCCACACGAGTATTACTCATCCTTCATCATTTTCCATGGGCATCAACCCTTACCCCACCTCCCATGCATACCTCAAACTAAAACAAAAAAGGAAAATCATTTCGAGCGTTTCCATTAAGCATTTTCACATTTTTAAGGGCATTCTACTGCATCTGGGTCTGCATGTTCCTATGTTTCTCCTTTGCAAATGTTTGGACAAACTGGGGTTTTACAGGTGGGTCCCCTGATTGAGAAGCAACCAGCCATGCTTGCTAATTGGGAATCTCTCAGCTCTATTCTATTCGAAGGCGTGGCCCTMCAAATTCACAGGTCTAACTCATCCCTTTCTAACTGTTGGTTTCTAAAAATTTATGGCCCAAACATATCACGCAGAGAGATTCGGTCTGTCTAGGCCATTCACTCCTTGAGGAGATGCCATAATTTAGGCCTTTAATGGTGGTGGTTCCATCCAGTTCCTTACTTTATGGACATCTCTGAACAAAAATAACTCAGTCAACTAAACTTTCTATCATGGACATATTTCTTTCATCTGACCAAGTGATACATTTTCAGATTATCTATTATATATAATTTTTTGAATGAATAGATATCTGCTCATGTTCATGGCATTTAGATAGACGTAAAATTCTTGAGCTTCCAAGGCTGAAACTCTATCATCATCTGCTAAAGCATGTTACAGAGCCAGGCACGCAAAAGAATGTCTAAAATATCGACTAAATTTTACATGCATTACATTCCCATGAGTAGAGGATTTTCAGTAACTACTTCCAGAGACTGAATTTGATCTTGACAGGGATGAAGAGTGGTTTAAGAATTCAATGCAATCTTCAATAGCTTCGGCTCGATGGGAGTCCATGGAATCCGAGACTGACCTTGACCTTGTAAATGTGGAGGCTGAAGATACCTTCCGTGAWGATTTTCTGGTGGATACAAAGCGAATGGCTTCACTTACCCTGGCCTTGAGGCTCTGTAGAAACCTCACTGGCAGGTACCTCGTCTCTCTGCTCAGGCCGAAGCTCCACATCCCGGCGCCACCACCGCCGTCGCTGCCGCTGTGTTTCAGCACGACTGGTGGCTTATCATTCACATCAGGACTGAAGCTGACTCGCTTGCTCGATTTCCTCGACATTTGAACCTCCCAACTGAGATGTGAATCCAAAGGGTAAAAAAATAAGGGGTTTAGAGAGAGAAAGGGAGAGATTTTATAAGAAGGGGGATGTGGGAGAATAAGGTAGCTTTCTTGAGGAAAGGAGACAGACAGTAAGTTAGGCTGTGGGAATAGGGGGCAAATTCAAGGGAAGAGAAAGAAGAAGAATGGGGCTTAATTAAGAAAGCCTGATTCAGTCGGCAGTCAGGATCGAAGTAAGCGTTCAGTTTACGCTCAAAACAGGCATTTCATTTATAGAATATGCTCAACTCTCTCTTATTCTAGAAGGGGTTAAGAAAAATTAAGTTTTTATATGTGTGATAGATGAGGGGTGAGGGTTTTGGGTAGAGGATTAAGCAATGGAAAGTGGATTAGGTCAGAAAAAGAGATGAGTGGAGCCACAGGGAAGAGAGAGCTCAAAAAAGAGGAGGAAGAAGAAGAAGTAGAAGAGGGAGAGAAGAAAAGAGAGACAACCACTTGATACTCTTCAGCATCAAACGTTGCTTTTGAGGCACAATGGAGGGAGGGGCCCTACGAGTTTCTCTTTTGTTGGCCATTTTGATTGATTCCCATTTCCAGTAGAATCAGAGAAATCCATGAGCATGGCTCATGGCCCTCTCTCTGTTTTCTTGATTTGAATGAGCAAATCAAACTTTTTCTTTTCTTCTTTTACTGTCCTTTGGCACAGGAATTTGTCTTCATAAATCTGCATGCTCTCAGATTTTTGCCCTTTTGACTGGGAAATAAAAGCTAAAGGGGGGCCTGAATTGAATTCTTCAGCTGCCTGTTGACTCCCCTCACCTGTTCAAGACCTTTAATTATACTCTCTACTCTACGTCATTGTTTCCCTCTCTTTCCTTTCTTTTTCTCAACCAAATTTTTTGATAGCCATTGGATTGATGGATCCACACGCCAACAACATATGCTCAATAGTATTTTGCTATTGAGATTGACCATCACCAACAAAGAAAACAAAACCCTTTCTCCATTTTCCCCCCTTTTTGTTTTTATCATTTCCCACTCTTTTATCCATACCCATTTTCATTTTTCATCACCTTTTTTCAGCATCCACTATTTCCATTTTCTCCCTTTATTTATATTGCCATCTGATGTCAAACAAAAGAGAATTGTAAATAACAATATGATACCAATTACCACTCCCTAATACATCAAGAATCTTGTGCTAAAGTAGAAGATTCTAGTTTCAAATTCTTGTATGGCTCTTTTCTCATTTCAGATTGATAGATCACGTGCTAACATGTGAACCCGTGTAGGAATATGATTTTTGAAAATTTATTGAAAATATCATGTAAGCTTTATTTTTTTTTCCACAATCGTTCAGCAAAAAAAAAAAAAAAACATGTACGAAAATTATTTTGAAAGAAAAAATTAGTGTTAGTATGTTAGTTTAAGACTCGTAATTCATCCATCAACATCATATTTTTGTTTAAGTTTTATGAACAACTTATTGTGATATATCTAAAAATTGTATTGGTTGAAAATGATAGTTTCACGTTTAGTTGTCTTTATAATTAACCTTTAATTTAAAGGTAACCATGAATTAATTATGATTTACGAGCAACTTTATGTTAATTTATCATTCATCGACCAATATGAACCATTCTTTTTAAAAGCTCCTCTTTGTAAGTCTTAAAACAAATAGTTTTTTCAGCCAGGAATACCATCAATTAATGACATAATGATTAATTATTTATGGATAATTCTTTTTAATGGTTCACACTAAACWTTATTTATTGATTTAAAAAAGAAAAAAAGTTGCCAAACATTCTCGCAGTAATGAAAACAATAATTTTTTGGCTAAGAGCTAAGTGTACTAGATTATTGCATGTCACATCAAAATTTACTGTATATCTTTATATTTATCTTAATTATTCTCCTAAGATTCTATTGAATACATTATTCTCAAAAAAAAAAAAAAAGATTCTATTGAATATATGGGCTTTCAAACCCAGAAGGACCCTTCTGGGGAAGGGCAGAAAGGAGACACGGCCCAAATTTTCAAAGCGGGCTGAAGCTCGTTGAGGTGGGCTAACGGATTCAAAATCAGTAACAGTTCAGGCCCATCAGAAGTTCCTTGATAGACTGTGTTTGGTCGGCCCAAATTATTGTTGATTACTGATAAGTCTTGAAATTTTAGGAAAAAGTGTTTACAAATTGTGCATGTTTAGTGTCTTCTGAAATTAAATACKTATGTTTCATGCATTGAATCCACTATAAATGAGATTATTTCTTAGGAAAGACTTGTACACTTGGTTTTGGATAAATAGATGGAATTAYGAGGAAATATATATGTTTTATAGGGAAAAAGGAAGGAAAAARCAGYAATGMACCTGCTGCAGTTGACACAGAGGCTATCTTAAAGCTAGCAGCGATGCGTCTGGCGCATCGCCAACACTCCAGAAACTTCAGCAATGCACCTGGCGCATTCTCCACCTACAAATAAGGAC